AGGACGGCGACGCCGACGACGACATCGACGAGGGAGGAGGGATGACGACGACGACGACAACGACGACGACGGCGACGACGACGGCGACGAAATAGGAGGGGCGACGACGAGACGCCGACGACGGACGACGACGACGACGAGGGAGGAGGAGGAGGAAGCACGACCACGGCGACAACGACGACGGAAACGACCACGACGCCAAAGAGGACGACGACGACGAACACGAGGGAAGACAGAGGACGACGTAGGCGACGACGACGACGACGCGGGAGGAGGGAGGGCGGCGACGACGACGACGACGACGACGACGACAACGCAAGAGCGCGCGCGCACGCTTTGGTTGAAAATCCGCGTTGCGAAACCCTGTGTTTTTGTAGGTTCTGTGGGCGCGCGATGTTGACATCCTTCCGAAACCGATGGGTTTTGAAAGATTTCGGCATACGCGCGCGAGGACGCGCGCGTCTCACTTCGTTCCGTTTTTTTGCACAGGATTGTCGCGACGGCACACGCGCAAGGGCGTTCGACAGATTTCGACATGCGCGCGCGAAGCCCGTTCGGTAGCATTTTGCGAGCATCTTGAAAAACCAACGGTTTCCTTAAGATTTCGCAAGAGCTCGCGCGAAAGTTCTTTAGCAGATCAGCGTTGCGAAACCCTGCTTTTGCATGTTTTTTGGGGGCGGGAACTCGATTGCGAAGTCCTTCCGACACCGAAGGTTTTCGAAGGATTTCGAAATGCGCGCGCGACGACGCGCGCGCGTGCACTTCGCCCTTTTCTTTGCAGGGGATTCGTGAACAACTGCTATGTTAGAACAAAAAATGTCCCCGCGTATCGTTTTTTACAAGGGAACCTCAGAGGAAACAATACCAGCCCCCCGGGGATAGTGTAAATCCGCCGACCTCAAAAGGCGCGCGAGGGAAAGTAACCATCCGCCGACCCCTTGGGGTTCATCGGCGCGCGAGATGCCCCCCCTCCCCAAACCCCTCCCCCGGGAGCCCGGCGCGGTCGATTTGGAAGGGGGGGGGGGTCGGCTCGGATGCCCCGGACGGCCCCGGACGGCAGCGGAGGTGCCATCCGCTCCCGAAAATCGTGCACAACCTCGTGAAAATCGCGCAGGGACTCCTCTGGTGGCCTCGAAATGGCTCTGGGGCGGCCAACGAGCGCTCCAAGACGCCCAAGGCGGCCCAAAGACGGGCCACGAGGCGTCCTCGACGGCAGAAGAGGTCCCCACGAGCCCCCCCGAGGGCCTCCGAGATGCGTTCCACGAGGGTCCCTAGACGCAAAAATTTGCCCATTCCCTTCGTGAAACGTACGTTTTTCACAAATTCGGCTCGTGGCCTTTCCGAGGGGCCGTCCAGGAGCGGGGGGCACCCCAAAAGGCGCACGTGTGAAAACATATACGTTTCACAAAGGGAACGGGCGATTTTGTGCGTCTAGAGGCCCTCTTGTGGCGCATCGTGGATGCCTCTTGGGGCATCTTGGAGGCCTCTTGAGCCGTCGGGGGGCCGTCGTCGATGTTTCTGATCGCTCTTGGGCCGTCTGGGACCATGTGGAGCTTTTTGGAGGCCACTCGGAGCGCTCCTGGAGCGCTCTTGGGGCCGTTTTCGGAGCCCTCTTGGGCCGTCTTGGACGCCTGTTGGCCCGTCTTGGGCTCTTTTTCTGCAGCCCTCGCTGCCCCTCCATTGATTGCCCCCCCCCCCCCCGTACGCGGCGCCCAAAGCCGGGCCTCCCTTCCTGCTCTGGCGACAGGGCCTTGCTCTGCAGTGGGAGCCTGCTTCGTGCCTGCACCCCGCCTCCCCAGACATCAACAACAAGGACACCTAACCCTTTGAGGTCTTTCTGCGGATGTATCAAACCAAACCACCCATATTTAGTACCCCCACTGCAAGGACGGGGACCTAAGTGAGGCCACATCTTCACAATGTTCTGAAGGTTAAGGCTCTTTTACCCTCGATAATCTTACGTCGTCGGACGAAGGTGGGAGCAAAGGGGGGGTCCGCCAATCAACTCACGTAGCTGGTTTTCCCAGCGCCCCCGCGACGCCTAAGACACGAATGCATCGAGGAAAACGCCAGGCGGCGACGCCGAAACCAGCTGCACGCTGCAATGTATCATCCCCATCTTTCCCGATGGCATGTTCCGGACCCCCCGAACTCGCTTTACTTCCGCGGGCGTCCGCCGCGTTTCCACCCCCTTCTGGCGAACAAAAAAACACATCTCCTTCGACCCTCGCAGGCGACGCCATTCCGGAACTCCTACTATAGCCCACTTCCTCCGATACGAGCATCTGATGGGCCGTTTGCCCGCCTCGCCCAGGAACAGTTTCTGATGGCACTGGGGGCCCGAAAGCGGCCAGCGGAAACCGAAAGTGGAGGACAAGCACGCCCAACGCCTGTCGCCCTCCCCCTGGACAGGGATCGACCGTCCCGGCATTGCTATAGGCCTGTAGTGCGACGTGTTCTTAGACCAGAAAATTGGGCGAATATTAAAGGCAATGGGCGCTCTGATAACATAAAACGACAAGACTGCGTCAGGTCCCAAGAACGTGTCTTGCAAACCGCCAAACATTGTTAGAACATTATTTGGTGGGCCTATGAGAAGATGGACCCTTCGCCACCGCTTGACTCCCCGAAAAAAAAGGAACTGCGGGAATAGTGCGTTTCGCGCGGGGCGAGCATACGACGGCTCGGAGTGCTTTCCTCGGGGCCTTCACGCCCAGCACTCACGGAGTGCCGCACCGAAAACCCAAAGATAAGGATGTTCCTCCTCCTGCTGCTCCTCCTCCTTTTCCTTTTCCACCTTCTCCACCTCCTCCTCGTCCTCCCCGAGTCCCCCCCCCTTTCCCAACCCTCTCCTCCACCCCCTTCCACCTCCTCCTCCCTCTCCTCTTTTTCCTCCTCCTCCTCCTCCTCCTCCTCCTCCTCCTCCTCCTCCTCCTCCTCCTCCTCCTCTTCCTCATCCTCATCCTCATCCTCTTCCTCCTCCGCCTCCTAATCCTCCTCCTCGTCCTCCTCCTCCCCCTGTCCCCTCCAGTCCTCCTCCTCCTCTTTTTCCTCCTCTTCCTGCCTCTCCTTCTCTTCCCCTTCGTCTCCCATCCTCCCCAATCCCTGCTCCCCGCACCTCCTTTTCCTCCTCCTCCTCCTCGTCCTCGTTTTTCGCTTGACGCCTTCGAAGCCCGATCGAACGAGCCGCAGGAGAGATAGAAACATTTAACTGCGAGGGAACGATGCCTCGCTAATATTGGGTCCCTCAAGCCGGAGCGGGCGGCCGCGGCTGCCACTGCCGCCTGGCCCCTCGAGGCATCGGGGCGGGGAGGGCCCCGCCACTCCCTCTAGGGCCGCGAGGATGCCCCGCCAGGAAATTCCTCGCATGGGGCTGCTGCCCGTAAGTCGTCCTCCGAAATCGCGAAGGGTTCCACTTTGACGGGCAACTCGTGGATCTCCTGGCGACCAGGTCGTCGACGTGCTGCTGGATGCGCACCGGGTACTTCTGCGGAACGGCCGCGGACCCGAACATACGAAATCGTTCTTGTGTGTGGTATTGCCCGAGCAGCTGCTGGAGAGCTCCTCGGCCGTGGTCGCAGCGTCCTCGAGTATCGCCCTTTTGCCGCTGATGATGTCGACGCTGAAAACGTAGATGTTGGCGTGGTACCTTGTTAGAGTTCTTTCAAAGTAGAGACGGGCGTCGCCCACTTTCCTCCTGCCCCTGAAGAAGTGGACGGCGTAGAAGCTCGGGTGGCTGATGTCGCGCTGCGGCTGCAATCCGGTTACTTGCCCGTGGCAAGACAGTCCTCGAACGTGGCGTGCTGCACCGGGATCATTGCCTCGTGCCTCTGGATCCCTGCGTTTTCAGCTTCGCCGCCATTTTCTGCCCCTCGTGCTCAAAGGCGCTCATCTCCTCACCCGTGGAGCTGCGTCGTGTTTTCATGGCGTGAGTTAGAATGCTTTTTTTCAGCCACGAGGTTCATCTTTCGCACGATCCTCGTGCCAACAGGCTGCAAGCAATGAGCGCAGATTTTTTTAATTTTGAAAAATATGTGTGATGTGCTGAATGCTATGCGGTACTTGGTGGTGCACATGTTGAGGTACCCTTCCCGCGGCGCGCATGGTCCCGCACTCATCGCAGATATAACCGTAGTCCTGCTCCTTCTCGGGCTCACCCTCGCTTTGCTCGTCAGCGCTAACAGAAGAACCCAGCCCCCCTGCAGTGGCCAGCTGCAGCTTTGCGCCTGCTGCCTTCATTTCCTTTCGCCGCGCGGTGCGGCGTGGTTCGTTGGCGTGCTAGCATATTTGCCTGCTCGTGGCTTGTTTGCGCCAACTCTACACTTTGTGCGGCTGTTCTCTGCGCAGCTGTAACCAGACGTCCTGTTCTGTTTCTGCGCTGGGCACGTCGCCGGAGGTGGCGCGCCTGCGAGGCCACCGAATGTCGAGCTTGATCTGACCAGCCCAGATATCACCTTGATCTGCTGCGAGGTCGGATCGCCTCAGGAGTCGCGGGCAGGCTTCTTCGATAACCGCGGGCAGTAGCCTCAGTCTGAGGTAGGATAGGAGTGCCCAGAGGTCCTCGATGCCCGCCTCGGCCTGAACCCGACCGCTGGTGAAGCGCTTCTGCTGCCTGCGGCGCCCGCGCGCAGCGGGGGGGCAGAGAAGCGACGAAGGCCCCCCCCTTGCAAATGCATCTGTCGCGGCCGCAATGCCTCGACTCGCAGCATGGGGAAGGGAGGCGCAGACGGCCCCCTGCCGCGAGCACCGCGCGGCCACGTGGCGCGCGTAAGCCCCGGCTCCCGGGCTGCCGATCGCGATCGATCGCACGATCCATGCCGACGATCGGCCCCGCCCAGCAGAGGCCAACTGCGGCCAGAGGGGTGCCCGCAAATGGTTTCTCTTCCTCTTCCTCCTCTTCCTCCTCCTCCTCCATTCTGGCCCGAGCGGCCCGAGCTGTCGCTGCCGCTGTCCGAGCTGTCGCCGTCCGACGGAAAGAAATCCGCGCGGAGGGCCCGCGCCTGGCCGCCACCGGCGGCGGCTAGCGGCCGCCGCCCGCGGGCCTCCGCCCCTCCGCGCGCCTCCCGCGCCCGCTTGGCCGCCGGCTGCCGCCAGGCCTGGCGAGGGCGACGGCCTGCCGTCCGTATCCTCCTCCTCTTCCTCGTCCTCCTCCGGGCTTGAAGGTGCCCGCTCCGTCCTCCTGACCTCTCCTCCGCCTCGTCGAAGACCCGGTCCAGGCCTCCGCTCCTCGCCCGGAAGCATAAGCCGCGCAACGGACGACGAATACTACGACTACTCATCCTCTCCCCCTCTCTCATCATCCGCTCCTCCTCCTCCGCGCTCCTCCTCCTCCTACAATCCTCCCCTCCTCCAGTTCCTTCATCTCCCCATCATCCTCTCCTCCTCCTCCTCCTCCTCCTCCCCTCCTCCTTGTCCTCCTCCTGTCCCGTCTCTTCCTCCTCCTCCTCTCTCGTACTCTCCCTCCTCCTCTGTCTCCTCTGTCCTCTTACCCTCCTCCTCTCCTGCTGCTGCTCCTCCTTCTCCTCCTCCTTCCTCATCTGTCTCATCCTCCTCCTGCGGATAATCCTACTCCTCCTGCTCGTCCCCTTGTCCTCCCTCCTCCTCCTCCTCTCCCCTCATCCTCCTCCTCCTCTCCTCGAGCTCCTCCTCGCCTCCTCCTCTCCTCGCCTCGCCTCTTCCTTCTCCACGTCTCCTCTCCCCCCTCCTCCCCCCCATTCTCTTCCTCCTCTCCGCACTCCTCATCCTCATCTCGGCTACTCGTCCTCCGCGCATCCCGCGTCTCTCTCTCGTCCTACTCGTCCTCTTACTTCTTGGTGTTAGTCCCCTCCTCTCCTAGTCTCATTTCCTCTCCTCCTGTCCTTCGCCTCTACCACTGCTGCGCCTCCTACGCCTTCTCGTCCTCCTCCTCCTCCTCCTCTACGCCACCCCTCCTCCTCCTCATCTTCTCCTCCTCTCCTCGTCCCTCTTCCTTCTCCTCTTCCTCCTCCTCCACGTCTCCTCTTTTCCTCCTCCTCCTCCTCAGCCTCCTCGTCCTCCTCGTCCTCCTCGTCCTCCTCCTCCTCCTCCTGTACCTCCTCCTCCTCTTCCTCCTCCTCCTCCTCCTCCTCTCCTTAGTCCTCTTCCTCCTCCACGTCCTCCTCCTCCTCCTCCTTCTCCTCATCCTCCTCCTCGCCCTCCTCGTCCTCCTCCTCCTCCTCGTCGTCCTCCTCCTCCTCCTCCTCCTCCTCCTCATGCTTCACTCCGTTACCTTATAAGTATCTCCTCCCTGTCGCACCCCGGAGCCGCTTGAAACGGCGGGCCGGGCGTTTCGCCTGATATTTCCTCATCACTCATGAACCTGAAGCTCAGAGATTGGCAACAATTTCGCAGATGGAGGACGGGTGGTTTTCAAAATGTGGCTTTCGACCCCGCGCCGCGCACACTCGTCTTACTAATTTGCAATAACTTCATGGGTCGAGGGCGGGTGAGTTTCAAAATGTTTCTCTCGCCTTTGCGCTGCGCGCGCTCGTCTTAAACATTGGCGCGAAATACACGGATTGAGGGCGGGTCGTTTTGAAAATGTGGCTCTCGCCATCTCGCCGCGCACATTCGATTTAAGCATTTGCAAGAGCTTCACGGATTGGGGGCGGTTCGTGGGCCTCGCTTTGGCGCCGCGCATATTCGCTTCCAAAATTTGCCAGGGCTGCGCGGATTGAGGGAAGTTCCTGTTCAAAATGTGGTTATCGCCTTAGCGTCGCGCACATTCGTTTCAACACTTTGCAAAGGCTTCACGGACCCGCATGGTTACGTACCAGAAATAATTTGTTGAAGCGGTTCAGGATTGCCAACACGTGACAATTATGTTGATTCGCGGCGTTGAAGTCCCAGGAATGGTGCTCTGGTGCAGTTCAGGCTCGTCACGACACAGCAGTCACGTTGATACGTAGCGCTGGACCCCCGAACAATGTTTTGGCACAGGATATGAATATTTGCAGGGGCCAATTATGAGGGAGCTTGGAGGGAGGGTTTGGCACCGCATCGTTGATGAGTCTTGGATTTGCACTGGCCGCTCCTCCCCGTCCTCCTCCTCCTCCTACTCTTCCATTCCTGTTTCCTATGGGTATCTCCTCCCGGTCGCACCCCGAGGCCACATGGAACGGCGGGTCGGGCGTGTCGCCTGAGACTCCCTTGCCATTTACGACCTGGCAGCAGCTTCACACATTGAAAGCGGGTCGCTTCCCAAATGTGGCTCTTTCTTTAGCGCCGCACACATTCCTGTCACAAGTGTGCCTGAATTGCACGGTTTGAGGACCGGTCGGTTTCAACATGTGGTTCTCGCCGCCGCGCCGCGCACATTGTTTTTAAACATGTTCAAGAGCTTCGCGGCCAAAATGTGGGTCTCGATTTAGCGCCGCGAACATCATTTTCAAAAGTTCGCAAGCGCTTCACGGATTGAATGCAGTTATTTTCAAAATGTGGTTATCGCCTCAGCGCCGGGCGCATTCGTTTCAACAGTTTGCAAAAGTTTCGCTGGTTTTCATGGTTCACGTACCAGAAAAGGTCTTTCAAGCGACTCAGGACTGCCAGGGCGCAGCAGTCTCGTTGACGGGCGGCGTTGAACTCCCAGGAATTGCGTTCTGGTGCGATTCAGGACTGTCAAGACGCGACAGTCGAATTGACTCGTGGCGTTGAAATCCTGAGATTGGTGTCTTGGCACGCGGCAGGAGTTTCACACGTTTGTCCCCCAACAAGGCACTTCCCTGTGGAAATGAACCCATGGAGGGGCCTCACTGCATGGGGCCGCCGTTCCCGCCGCCCGCCCTCGCCCGGGGGGCGGGCGGGGGCGCCGCGAGTGGGGCGCTGCTGCTGGCCGCTGAGAAGGTCTGCCTCCTTCGCGCGGCAGATGCCCGAAACCCAGCGATCCGCGGGTCCCAAAGGTTCCTGGTTTCTCGAACTCAGGTAGCCAAGCAATACCCCCTGGCTGTACCGCGCGGGGCCCCGTCCTCTCCGGCAAGCCCGGGGGTCGTGCTTGAGGCGATGCGCATACGATTCGTCGGGCTCGCTGGGCCCCCGGGAGGAATCGCGGCGCCTTTGCCGGTGCAGGTGACTTACCCGCGGCGCCAGGGAGGCATGCCCACCGCCCCAATGGACACCCTCGGGGAGTCCTGAGGGGGGGGGATGGAGTCGCCATAGATGGTGGCGAGGAATTGCTGGCGGCAGGACGCGGGCCAGGCCCTGGGGTCGCAGGGTGCCCCCAATAGATTTCCTGATCTGTGGGGGGGGGGAGAAGCCCTGTGCTCCGACGTCCAATTCCTCCAGCGCTCATCGACCAGAGGGGGAGAAGACGCGCGCGTGTGCGACCATGATGTGCGCGGTGGTGTTGTCAGCTCTCCCGGCTGCGGGCTCGGGGTCGATGCGTCCGACGGCGAAGCAATCCCCCTTGCCTTGAGGGGGGGCAGGGCGGCGGGTCGACCTCGGGGAGGTCGCCAAGGAGGCCGGCGGGAGCCCGCGGGGGCGGCGTCGGTAGCCTGTCCAGCACCTCACCTCCAGTCCTTCCAGCCGAGGCGGGGCGGTCGGGCCTGACCGGCGGGGGCGCGGGGGGACTGCGGGCATGGCGATGGTGATCAGGCAACAGGCTGGGCCGATGGTTTGTTTGAGGTGTGGGACAGCGCCGAGCGTCGCCGGTGCTAGGGCTGGCCTGGCGCCTGCGCGGGGGCGACGTTCGGCTGCCAGAGGTGAAGCTAGTTGAGGCGCGCCGGAGCGCCCTTCGCATGGGCGGCCTGCTAGTGGTCGCCGAGCTAGGGCTGCCAGAGCTGCTGGGGGGCCGTCGGCGGGCTGGGCCGCAGCCCTGCGGGCGTCGCCTCCGCGTGGGCGGAGGCAGAAGAGCAGGCAAAGCGGCTGGGGGCCGCGTAACCTGCCGGGGCGCTGCGTCCTGCGAGCCCGCGCCCCCGGGTCCGTTGCTGCCATCCTCCGGAGGGGGGGGGCCCAACGGCTCGGGTGCGCTGTCGAGCACGCTGGTTGATGACTGCTGGCGATCGCCCTTGGATGGAGGGCGAACGCTGTTGAGGGGGTGCGCCAAGGGGGTTGGTGCTGAGGCTGTGTGGGCCGGCTTCCTGTCCCTTTTAGGAGCTGTCGGGGGAAATGCAAGACGGCCGCCCCGCTCGAGCATTGCTCTGACCTGACTGGGGCGGGCTCACCACAGGTGCGCGAGGCAATCGGGGCAGAACCATGGCATTCAATTGCACGCTGGCGAACAGCTGGGACCGGGCGTGGAAGGCCGGGAGACCGCGCGGGGGATCGGCCAGGGCTTCCTTCATTTTCGGGGCGGAAGATGACTGTGCTCAGCGGTGCCTCTCCGCATGGCCACTGCCTCGGGGGGGCGTCGCTTGGGCAGCGGTCACGCTGGCACTTCCGCTGGCCGCAGCCGAAGTGCTCGCCAAACCTGTCGTCGATTGCGCGGAGGATGGAAATATGGTAACGCGGGCGTGGGTGGGGTTGTGGGGGCCCTCCGGCGCCTGGGGCAGATCCATCAGGGGGGCGTCTGCATTGACGCCCTCGGCGGTGGGGCGGCCTGGGAGGGGGCCAGAGGGGCGGCGCATGCGGTGGGCCTGGCGTCGAGGCCCCCCAGATGCGCCGCCACCTCGTCATCCGCTGGCGCGGGGGGCCTTTTGGCCGAGAGGCTGCTCTTCCAACAGACGTTGCAATGCCATCGGCAATCCATTCCCTTAAGTAGCACTTCAGCCGGCTGGCAGCTACCGTTCTCCTGATCGTGGGGCCCACCCACGTGTCTCCAGTACCCCCCCTGGGGGTCGAATGGGCCATGCCCGCACTGGTCGAAGCAAATGCGGGGGGCCTGCACGGCTGGCTGGAAGCGATTGTCCCCCTCGCAGAAGAGGGGTGGAGACAGCGCGACGCCTGGTGCCGCACCTTTCGGGGGGGCTGCGAAAAGATCCTTTCCGGCTCCCCCTCCAAGGCACTGCGGGGTGGCATGCCGATGGTCTTCGGGCAAGAGACCAGCTGCGGACCCGAGACCCCCCTTCCAGGTCACGGCGGGCTGCGCCCCGCCGATGTCGGGACGGCGGCGAGCAACAGTGACGAGCCTGGACCATGCTTTGATGAAGGTCTCAAGGCGGCCATGGAGCCCGCGGAGGTCTGCGCCCCCGAGGTTCCGCGCCGGGCCAAAGCTATCACGCGCGGGCAGGCGCGCATTACGGCGCTGAGTGGCGCTGAGTGGCGCAGAGTGGCGCTGAGTGGCGCTGACGGGCGCGGTGGTTGTTCGAACGACGCCGTGCCCGCCCGGGGGCCGCCCGTGGGCGCCTTGTGCTGTCTACCCAATAATAGCTTGCACCGCGTAGTTACCACCGCATGCTCGGCATCGAACAGTCGACACCACATAGCTTAGACCACAAAGTTTGCACCGCAGAGCTTGCACCACATAGCCTCGGCTCATCTTAAACATAAAAGAGGCGTGATGGCGCTACTTTACGTTTTCAACTTCGCGTGTTGGAAGCCATTGCTTTAGTGCTTACTGGTCTTAGACTTTACAGTGTTAAACATTGTAGCTGCTGTGCTGTGTTTTAAATATGTTGTTCTCCGTCGTTTAAAAAAAATGGTTTCAGCTCTTCGCGCGGAAGCCAGTGTCAGCCCCGCCCCGTCTATGGATCTTACGATGAAGATGGAAACGCCAACAACAACAATTACCAGAAAACGCAGAAACATCGGACACATTGTTGCGTTTCGCTGGTAGACTGACGAGAAGCCAAACAAAACAAGACAAACCAACGATACAACACATTAATATCGAACACGACCAGAATGATTGAAATATGAGCCAAACACATTGCGTATACCAACTATACCAGCGCGACGGCCATACGGGCGGAACAAAAACACGGCGCCACTCAGCTCCACTCAATGCCACTCAAAGCCTTTCTTCGGAGCTACCCAGCGCCACTCAATGCCAATTTGCGCCACGCAGCACCACTCAGCGCCACTCAGCGCCACTCGGCGATGCTCGCCGCTGTCCAACGCCACTCACCGCCACCCAATGGCGTTTAATGCTGCCAGGCAAACGGCAGTTGTAAGAGAAGAGAGAGGACGCAACGGACAACGAGGCGGAGGAGGAGGAGGAGGAGGAGGATGGGGGAGGAGGACGAGGAGGAGGAGGAGGAGGAGGAGGAGGAGGGGGGATGGGGGGAGGAAAGGAGGAGGGGAAAGGGGGAGGGACCAGAGCAGGAAAAGGAGAAGGCAGCAGAGGGGGAGATCCAGCGCTGGAACTTCCGCGGCTGGCTGCGAGGATGAGCGCTAATGGAGCGCCCTCACGCCGCCGCCGTCGCCGTCGTCGGGCGTCGAGCAGGGACGGATTGGACATGCGCAGGAAAGACGAGCCGTATGCTTAATGGGATTCTGGTATTCTTCCCTCCCGCGTCCCACCCGCGACTCACTCACCTCTCTTGCGGGCTCGCAATGCGTGGCAGGCGTGGCATATTCTCGACACCATAACGGGTGTGCAGGGGGTGGTCTCTGAGCGCGGCCGCTGTCCGAGCCAGTCGTCCAGGGCATAGCAGGCGTGGCAGATTCTCGACACCATCAATTCCCCACATGCTTAGTGGGGTCATGGATTTCTTCCTCCCCGCGACGCACCCGCGTCTCCTCCTCACCCCTCCTCCTCCTCCTCCTCCTTCTCCTTCTCACACAGCACAGCGCAGCACAGCGCAGAGCAGCACAGCACAGCACAGCTCAGCACAACACAGCACAGCACACAGCACATTGACACACAGCACGTCCACAGCACAGCACAGCACAGCACTGCTCAACACAGCTCAGCTCAGCACAGCACGGCTCAGCACAGCTGCTTTCTTGACACCAGAGGCGATGCGCAGGGGGTGGTTGGTCCCTCACCGCGGTCTCCATACGCGCCAATGTCGCAGGGCCTAGCAGGCGTGGCAGTTTCTCGACACCGGAGGGGTGCGCAGGGGGTGGTCCCTCAGCGCGGTCTCTACACGCGCCAATGTCGCAGGGCCTAGCAGGCAAGCGTGGCGTTTTTCTCGACACCAAAGGGGGTGCGCCTTGAAGGGGTGCCGATTGAAGATCGGTCCAGAGGGCAGGGCTTGCCTTTATCAGATCCTTTGTCGGGGCGATGGCCCGGAAGGGTAACGGCCCGAGAGTGAGCCGAGGCGCCCCGGGAGGGAGCCGTCCCCTTCCCTTTCCCCTTGTCGTGGCACGCGCTTTTAAAAAATGGACGCATTGGCAGGCCACCCGGCCGTGATGAAAGGTGGCCCTCGATGGACTTGACGATGTCGCTGACCGTAGCGGCTTCCCCGAGGTTGGCGGTGCCTTCAACAAGGGAGGATAGTGGGAGCTCGGCGGATTAGGTCTTCGTCGTAGGTCCTGTCCCACAGCTACCTGCGCGGGCACGCCCCACCGACGCCCGAGGGAGTCAGAGGGGGTGAGGGGAGCCCCAAGCGGGCCAAAGGCAGCGTGCCTCGGCCTGGCATCCATGTAACAGAGGTAGGTCCTTAGAGCCCCGCCCAAAGAGTGGAAACTGCCTGTCGTTTCAGCGCCCTTATTGACGGACTGGGGTCTAATGGAACATAATTGTTTCTCCGCGGCACCCGCCGCGCAACAACGACGACGGCGACTACGACTACGATTACGCGAGGAGGAGGAGGGGCGGAGTCAATTCCCCGCCGGAGAAACAGGCGGGTGCAAAACGAAAGACCTCCTAAGGCGATCCATCGCAAGGATGCATCACTTGTTGCCTGCCCAGCTGTGTTGTGGTTGAGACTGGGTCATGCCCTTATACCTCCCCCCAGGAGAGCACAGAATCGAATCGATAAGTCTGATCGGCGATCCAGATGAATCGGATCGGCGGAAATAGGCAGCCGAGTCGGGAGAAGTGGAGCCGGCGGAAGTCGGCACGCTGGTAGGTCTCCGTTGGGAAGTCGGAGTCCGAATCGGAATCCGAAGGCGAACCGAATCGGAATCGGACGCCATCGAAATCGAATCGAATCGAATTGGAGGAATGGAAACGAGCCCTGCCTCCTCCTCCTCCTCCTCACCTTCTCTTCCTCCTGCATCTGCCAAGCTTTGCCCCAGGTCGACCCTCGAGGGTCAAACGAAAGAGATCTGCGGACGTGTCTTCGGCCCGTGTCGGGCCTCTGGCCTCCGGATACCTCCGCGAGGACCTCTGGGCACCTGGGCCTCGGGCGGTCAGGGCCCCGAGGCGGCAGCAAGACTTCACACCTGCTTATGTTGCTCCTGCTCCTCCTCCTCCTCCTCCTCCCGCTCCCTCTCCCCGTCCCCCTCCTCCTCTTTTTTCTCCTCCTCCTCCTCCTCCACTTCCTCCCTCCTGCTCCCTCCGTCCTGCTCCTCCTCTTCCTCCATCCCCTGCCAACCGCGGGCTTGGCGGGCACGACGACACTACGGGGAGCTCCCCGCAGCTATGCAGTCCTGGTCCTCCTTCTGGTCCAGCGTCCCCTCCTCCACCTCTGGAGAGCTCTCACGCGGAGGCGGGCCCCCACCCCGCCAGGAAACCTACAACTCTCGGATGTGCTCGGTGCCGCTCGGTCGTCTCAGACTCCATGCCCGTTCGCGGGGCTCGTGCTCGCTTGCTTTGGGGTAATACCCCAAGTGGCTTCCGCCGATGAGCATCAGCAGTCGCGTGCCCGTTGCATTGAGCGGATAGCCAATGTAAGTGTTTCATCTGCGATCGCTTCTCCACCCTCCTCGTCATCATCTCCGTCCCACTTCTCCTTGACGCTGGGCCTCATTACTCCGACCTCCCTCTTTACTCTTCCCTCCCTCTCTCCCTCCGCCTCCTCATCCCTCAAACAACTTGGACTCGAACCATTTTGGCGAGCCCGTCTCCTGTGCCTGCACGAGGCGCTTGGGGCATTTCTTTGCGAGCGCTCCAGTGAGCCGCTCCCGGAGACAACCAGCACAGGATATTCTCTCTTTCTTTCATATCATGGCCAACTATGGGCACCTGTGGTCTCGGCGCAACTGTGGGCGTGCTGAATGGGACACCACGCTCCTGGCCAACAGCAGGCAGTGCCCGACCTGCAATCGGCAGTTCAAGCTACACAAGTTAAAGTACGGTGATGATGGTGACAAGTCTGGCGTCAAGGGTGGCAAAGGCAAAGACACTTCCAATGATGGCTCTTCCCAGGTCTCGCTTCTGCGGCTCACGATCCAGAACACCGAGGACCAGCAGATGAAGAAGACGCTCCAGGCGAGATTCGACCAGCTGCCCCCGCCGACAGCAAGCGTCCTGACGGACGCGTCGCATGCGGCTGCAGAAGCTGTGCGACGTGCTGTCAGTGTGTGGAGGGATGCAGACCACAAGCGCTCCCAGGAGGTGGGCAATGTGGTCAGGCTCCAGCAGGCGCTCACCACAGCGCAGGAGAAGGCTGCAGCGGCGGGGCTGGTGCTGGCCCAGGCGGCGCGGGCCAAGACGCAGGCCATGGCAGCCATGGCGGCGGCCGAGGGCCTTGCGCCGGCGGCAGCCGCAGGCAGGCCAGGCGCGGCCTCGCCCAAGTTCGAGCTGAAGGTGGACACACCATCCTCGAGGGCCTGGACGGTCTTGAGTGTGAGGAGGCCGAGCGCACCGACGTGCGCAAGCTGCAGGCAGACCTGACGGCGCTGCCGGCGCTCCTCAGCACGAAGGAGTCCGAGGTGAACAGCATGCTGTCCACGGCTGCGGAGGTGCGCGCGGCAGTGCAGAACAGGATGGCCAAGAAGCGTAGAGTTGTCGAGGGCGAGGCTGGCAACGACGAGGCAGCGGCTCCCGCCACGGCGCCTGCAGCGGCGCCCACTAGCGGTGGAGCAGATGCCTCGAGCAAGGGCGATGGCGTGAGCCAGGCCGTCGATACCGAGGATGACGAGAAGCTCCGCGAAGCCGCCGAGAAGCTGACGGAGGACAAGCGCGAGGCTCCGGAGAAGCTGCTCGAGGAGCAGAAGCAGAACGCGGCGCAGCCCATTGGCAAGGGCAAGGGCACGCAGCCACCCACCACAAGCAAAGGCGAGCCTGGGGCAGGAGGTGCCAAGCCGGCCAAGGCTGCCAAATGACTAGGTTCCGCGGGGACTAGCAGTTGCGAGCCTCCGACTGTGGACGACACGATCGTGGGTGACGAGCAGCTGCAGCACGGGGGAGAGGTGGCGCCTTCCTCAGAGGCCACCTCAACACTCTTTTACTCCAGTGTGACGTGCATTGGAGACAAAGCATGGTATCATCTTTCTTCTTACAAGCATGACTTTATCGGGGTTGTGAAAACTCATGTCAGTGAGTGTGATGTCCGCAAATGGGATGTGACGTCAAGGGGAGCAAATATACGTTTGCTCAGTAATCCAGCGCGAGTTCCTTGATCGACGCGTGGCCAAATCTCACCAGGCTCGGTCCAACGAAGGCGGAGAGTGGATCCTTTCACGCGGCCATTTGCAGATGCAGGCATTGTTGGGATCAGCGGCTGTCCGTCCTTTGGCGGCCCCTCATCATCGTCAGCTCGATGGTTTCATGGCCATCATCTTACACTTTCGCGGCTATTCGATTGGTGCCATAATCTTTTACGCGTGCCCGTACATCGGTGCCAGCGGCCCCAACCTGGGGCGCTTCCAGAAGCTGGGGACTCTGCTCAACACGTTGAATATGCCTTGGTTCGTCGTCGGCGACTTCAATGTCACGGTGGAGGCGATGAGGTGGTCCAAACTTCTCGGTAACCTTCTTGGGCGGCCTATCATCATGACCGCTGGCGTTGAAGCCACATGCAACGTGGGTACCAGCAGCTTGTGGCAAGAAGCTTGGACCTGCTCCGTCGGCTGCCGCAGCAGGCTCGCCCTCGCCAGTCGCCCACAGCGGGACCTGAGTCCACCAGGGCGCGCGAGCAGGCAGCGGAACGCAGGCAGCAGCGGGCAGAGGGCAGGAACAAACAGTACGACATGTTCTTCGGTGATCTGCTCCAGTCTCCTGAGCAGAATGGCGATAGTGCTGAGTCGGACCCCGAGTCTGAGAGTGGTAGGCCACCTGAAGGCTCCCCTAAATACCCTGAGCCAGGCGATCTGTGCGAGCCCATGCTAGCATACGAATCCGAGGAATATCCATGGGCGCACGAGAGTTGCTTCACTCCCCAGCTGACGGGTATCATCGAGTCTAACAATGGGGTGCGTTCTGATGGCCCTGGGGTGGCGTCGGCGGTGAATCCAGCCATGGCGATGGGCTCGGTGAGCCAGCCCCTCGCATCCGATAAATTGCCCCCCCCCCCCCTGTCCGGCTTTAAATGCAGTGAAGGCCCCACCCCGACTCTTCCCCCTCCTGGTCCTCCGTCTCCGCCTCCCCTCTCCCCCTCCCCCTCCCCGAATGAATCGTTGTCTTTCGATGTGCGTGATGGGACTTGGCGCCAGTGCCGAAGCGAAGTGGGCTTTGTTCCTGCGAAGGCCTGTCCTCCATCTGCTTCGTTCCTTCGGTCTGTAGCGTTTTCGCTCAATCGCACACCCACTCTCTTTGCGATATCCCCTCTATATATGCTTCATGGGTTTCAGCAGCCGAGGCGGCCCTGCTCTGTCACCACTGATTGGAGCGTGGCTGCGGGCCCTCGAGGGCCAGCTGCGCAGATCTTCGCGAAGGAATCGCTCATCGGCAGGAGCGGCAGAGAGTGGCACCAAATCGGGATATCATTGCTAGCTGGTGGCGTCGTCTCTCCGCGGTCATCTCAGGTCTGCTATGGCATGTGGCATGTCGAACGCGGACCTGATCACAAGCAGAGACGTCATCTATTGGAGGCCTTTGCCAGTCATCTGGATGAGCGGCCTGAAAAGTATCATGCTGTCCTGCGAGCTGTGCGGGACCCCCCCTGGGAAAAAAAGGCAAGTCATGTTTGACGAGTTCAGGAGGTTACCTATTGTTGACGGACCTGCAGATACGCCTCACAGGTGTTGCGCAAGCAGCTCAGAGGATTGCAGGTCGTTGTCAACAGCGCGCCATCAAGATGGCTATGAAATAATTTGGTCAGTGGATGGGGACCCCAGTGGCGTTGGGAGTGATGCACAAGAATCGGCGGCAGGAACCTGTAGTACCGCATGAAATGGAATCGTCTTCAGGCACTGTATGTTTAACCCTCAAGACCTAGTGGATGCCACAGCTGCTCGGTGAACTCCCTGTGGTCGCCTTCCCGTGAGGCAGTCGGTCAAGTTCAGGACGCCTTTCTGCATGCGCGGCACCGGGCGTCGGCTGAGCCTCTTACAAATATCACGGCCAATGACATCCGCTCGGCGGCCAGGCGCATGAAGGCAAGGACGGGGCTCGGCATCGATAGGATGAGCCCGGTCGACTTCGAAAGGCTTCCCACCTCCGCTCTCGAGCGGATCGCGGAGATCTACAGTATCGTGGAGGCCGAGGCCACCTGGCCTCACCAGATCATGGCAGTCATAGGTCGCTTGTTGCCCAAAAAGACAGCAGGCGAGCGAATCATTGGTTTGCTGTCGATGTTCAGTCGACTCTGGTCTCTAGTGCGAGAAGGTGTTGTGCAGGCGTGGTCTGACGAGACGGCCCCTTTCTGAGGCGGGGCGGTGCAAGGCAACACCTTGCGCGAGGCCTTCGTCAGGACGCTGCACGAAGAAATGGGCAATCGCCTGCAGGTGTCGGCGGGCACAGGCCTCCTCGACATCGACGGCTTCTATGACAATACTCTTTGGGAATCTTTGATACCAGCTGGGATTCGATTTTGATTTCCTGCTGTAGTTTTGTGCTTGGAAGTGGCGCAGTACGCAGCACCGCGACTCCTTGGACAGTGCGAATATTGGGCGATGCCGATTGAACCCGCTCAGTCTGTCGTCCAAGGTCTGAGGTCAAGCACTCGCTTCGGGCGCATCTTGACCTCCTATATTTTGGATCGCATTTGTACCGCTCATCCTCAGATGAGCCATCGGATCTGCAGTTGATTGACAATCTCAAGGCCACCTGTCAGGGCCTTGCGGGCATGAAGTTGAGGGTAGCAAGAGAAAGCGTGATCATGTGTACGCATCATCCCGACGCTGTGGCTCGGGCTCTGCGGCTCGCTGGCTACTCGGTCAAGCCACAGCGCCAGGCAAGGTATCTCGGTTTCGACATCGGCGGCGGTGGCCGGCACGCTCAAGCAGCCAGGCGCAAGCGCTTCCAGAAGTACGAGGTCATGCACAGACAGATGAGGAAATTTGCTGCAGCAGGTCGTCGCTACGCCACGACGTCCAAGCTGGAGCGCTTGGGCGCGCAGGCGGCTGGGCCCTACGGCTTCCAGATTCACGGGTCCTTGGGAGTAAATCTCAGTACGTGGCGGCGTCGCTTGGGCGCAGCGGTTGCTGCTCCGTCCAAAGGTCGATGCCTCACAACGTAACTTGCTATGCGGGCGCAGCAGGATCCTGCTCTGCGAATGCCCACTAAGTGTACATGGTTCTAGGTGTGGCAGTCCGAGGCCGAGCTGCGCGCGAGCGTCATACGAGCGCGGCCGCTGGCAGTTCAACATTTGCGATCGTTCGAGCCAGGAGAACAGCGGACTTGGCATATCCGAAGACCGATGTCAGCGCTCATCACACTGTTGTCGGACAACGGTTGGAACCCAGAGACTGCTATCAGTTGGTTGTTTGCAGGTGCAGCACCCGATGAGACGGTATCTTGGCATATTGGCGATGATGCGAGGACGGGCTTTCGCGATGCTGACGGTCCCAGTGGCTTGATCTCAGATTTGCAGCAGTCTGTTTCAGGCAGACTCTGAAAGAGGGAGCCAGTCATTTCTGTGGAGCTGGGATGGAAAGAGGAGTGGATCTGACATCCACGAGAGCCTTGTATCATCAATTGATTAGTCTGCCAAATGGTCATCGCCTCGCTGAATTGTTAGTTGCCATTTATTGTGGAGCGTCTTCGCCCAGATTGCGACGGGCTGAGGCGGCCACAGCAGGTAGGATAGGCGAGGAGGATGAGGCTATCTTTCGTTGTGGCGAGGAGGATGAGAATATGTTACGCAGGGCATGGAGTTGCGTCAAGCATTGCGGATCGGCAACTTATGTTCATTCTGATACGTTGGCTGTTGAGGCGTACACCCAGGCGCAAGCTGAAGAGTGTGTCTGGCTCAGAGGGTTGATCTCATTGGCGTGGCTAGCACTACCCCCATCCAGCGTCGGAGGAAGCTTGGGTCACGGCAGGGACGGCTGGAGATCAGGTCACCTACGCGACGTTGGTCCACGGCACGGCCCAGCACACAGTCATCGCGCGCGGTGACGCCAGCGGAGGTGCAGATTCCAGCAGCGACCGTCCACGTCGAGTGGGATTCATCTGGAGAGCTGCGAGCACTGTTGCTTACGGCGCAAGCCACCTCAAGTCACCCCACCCCTTTATGTAACGGACAACAGCGGAGTCGCAGATGGTAGGGCGGGGCGACAACACAAGTCGTCCACCGGACCAGATGCCGACCTGCGGTGGCAGGTTGGCGAGCAGTTTCGAGAGCGGGATGAGATATGATTCGTCGTGTTGTTTGTCAACTCACATTTGACAGTGCAGGAGTTTGCCAAGTGCACCGCGCCAGCGTGGATGGTCCAAGGAAACAGTGTTGCTGATGTGATTGCTAGGGCTGCCGCCGACCGAGTCCGAGTCCCCGAGAGTGTGAGACTCGCGTGTCAGGATAAGGAGCGCAAAACTTTCCCCGTTCGTATGAGACTGTTGAGAGCTACTACCGATACCTTGGAGTGCGAGAAAGAGCTGACGGGAGATGGCCCCAAGGAAAAATCTAAGCGGCCGATCCCTCCCCCAACTCCCTCGGCTGTGCGAGTTTTCACGACCTCCACATCTTAGCTGATTGTGGGCGTAGATGTCTTAAGTGTTGCACCCTTGCTACCCTAACTACCCGTGCCGTGTGGAGCGACAGCACGTGTTTTCAACCCAGTAACATTGACGGGGTTTTGTTTGGGCTGCCAGCAGGGGTACAACTGCGTATAGTAGGGGGATGGTGCACAGTAGTCATCGGATGCGTCTACATACGGAGCTTAAGTTGTGGTTTTGCTGTTCGTGTGGGCACTTCGCCAGCCAGTGTTTGAGAGGCCTCGTG